GCTCCTATTGTTCAGGTGCAATTTATAGCAAGTTGGACTAAGGGGAGGTGCCTCTGAGCCCAGGTTTGTGAGTCCCAAGGAACCGGGGGCCTGAACAGGTGTGGACCTTTGCTCTGTAGGTCGGATGTCTCTTAGCTGGAGCTCATTAACCGCGGCCGTGCTGGGAGGCTGCAGAGGGCAGTGCAGCCTCCCCAGGGTCACAGCACCCTTGACTCCTGTGGGCTTTGGAAAGTTCTCGCTTTCTGCGGTCACAGCCTCTGTCTGCAGTGGAGGGTCACAGTTTCCTCTGGATGGGAAGGCACGGGAGACGCCCTGGAGTGCCCTGCTCGCCACTGAGGGAGCATCCTTCCTGGAAGAACCCCACCGAGCTGAGCCCTGCTGTTTGCAAGGTCACAGCCCACCCTGCTGGCGATTTCCCTCAGCTGTGGGTCACGGGGCCAGGGGACAAGGGGAGCCATCACTTGGGAGCCGGGGCTGGCTGCTGGGCCACCAGGGATGGCAACTTTACTCTCGGGAGCATAGGCCACCATGCCTCTGTACGGAGCTCCTGAAACACTCGATTGAGGACATGGGGCGGGTGTTACAAGCCCGTGGGCCCTTTCTGATAAGATGGTGAACACCCATTCCAAAGCGAGGGTGCCAGAATGGTACAGACCCACATGCCTGATTCCTGACAGTCACCCAACCTGAAGCTCGGGGAACACTGTCTCCTGGACAAGCTGGGGAAAGGTCGAAGGTTGTGCTGTTGGGGGAAAAAGGGCCTTCCTTCCTCATCCAAACAGCCAATGCCAGCCAAGGAGCTTTCCAGAGAAGCTTATATTTCCAGGAGAAAGTCGAAGACTTTCAGAGAAACACCAGGACAAAGCAAAGCAAAACCTCCCAGGCGTATGGAGCAAGGGACCCCATGGGTTGTGGAGGTTGTGGTGTAAGAGGCCTGGGTGTAACTTATCAAACTTCCTTCATGCCAGTTGGGGGGCGGACTCATTCTGGTTGATTGATTCACTTGGGTATGGCCAGATCCCTGACGTTATCACACCAGAATCTAGGAACAGAGTCTCCAACAGCGTCTCCCGTCAGACCACCTGGGCCAGTGAAGAGACATCGCTCTGGGGCCGCGCTCAGTGAAAAGTTAACCAGTTTAGGAGAAGAGAGGGGGCTTTTCTTCAGGTTTGGATAGAGGCAACAAAAACGGTTGGTGCGTGCCCTGTGGAAGTGGGTCTCCAAGATTTCTTAACAGTCTCTCATCTTCTCTGTCAAGTGTCTTTCCATGGTTTTGCTTCCTCACCAGATATTACTTGGATTAGACCCTGTCAGTCGGTGTGAAGCCCCTGTGAGGGCAGGTTGGCTCTTTGACACCCAGACCTCTGGAGGGCAGGCTCAGGTGGTGCCCAATCTGAGAGGAGCATGGTGGGAAGGGGAGACGCAGCCCTGGGAGAGACTACATCTGGTGCCCAATCAGGAGGGCTCCCGGGAGATGGGGGGCAGGTGGCCCTGGGATCAAGGGAGAATCAGTACACACTTGCTATTACCTAGAGGTGCAGGATTAGAGAATAGGGGCTCTAAAAACAACTCAAAAACTACACAGAACCAAAATAAAAAAAAACATCATTCGGCATTCCCACCAGCAATGAAGGAGGGTCCCTTTCTCGCCACATTCATGCCAACACCGGTTGCTTTTGTTCTTTTGGATGTGGGCCAGTCTCTGTGGTGTGACATGGTATCTCATTGTTTTTTTGATGTGCATCTCCCTGATGATAAATGATATAGAGCATTTTTCTCATATGCCTTTTAGCCATTCGAATTTCTTCTTTGAGAAAGTTTCTGTTCATTTCGTCGCCCCATTTTTTGATGGGGTTGGAAAGGGACCCTCCTTCATTGCTGGTGGGAATGCTGAATGGTACAGCCCTTTTGGAAAACAGTATGGAAAATTCTCAAAAAATTAGAAACTGAGCTCCCATTTGACCCAGCAATACCACTCCTGGGAATATATCCCAGAGAGGCAAAAAAGTATAGTCAAAGTGACGTCTGCACTTGTGTGTTCATTGCAGCACTGTTTACCATAGCTAGAATCTGGAAAAAACCTGAGTGTCTGAAAACAGATGACTGGTTAAAGAAACCGGTACATCTACACAACAGAGTACTATGTAGCTGTTAGAAAAGATGAAGTCATGAAATTTATATACAAGTGATACTACATGGAAAGTATCATGCTAAGCGAAATGAGTCAGAAAGAGAGGGATAGACATAGAAAGATTACATTCATCTGGGGAACATAAAGTAACAAAATAGGAGACTAACACCCAAGAATAGCCAAGATTAGTACCAGGAGGTTTACTTCATGGCTTGGAGGCTAGCCACACATGCTAGGGGAAAAGGCAGCTCAGATAGAGAAGGGAGCACCAAATAAAGGGTGTTGGAAGGATCCTCCCAGGATGAAAGAAGTAGGCTGAAAGTAGTCTATACACCAAACATGATTGCCACTCAGTGCCTCTTTTGCAAACCACAACACCCAAAAGGAGAGAGAGAACAAAAGGGAGTGCCCTGCCACAGAGGCAGGGTGGGATGAGGGAGATGGGGGGTGGGAGGGATACTGGGATCAGCAGTGGTGGAAAACGGGCACTGGTGGAGGGATGGGTATTCGATCATTGTATAACTGAAACCCAAGCACAAAAATTTTTAAGTCTACAACTGTATCTCATGGTGTTTCACGAATAAAAACTTTTAAAAAATAAAAAACCAAAACAAAACATCAGACACAACTACTGAATGCAACATGTGACCATTGGTACGGTTTCTGGGTATAAAATCTAAGAAGTCTAAAGGACATTGCTGGCAGTGCTGAGGGCGTAGTTGCATGGTTAGGCTACTTCAGTGTGAAGTGGGCATCATATGCATAGTATGGCAGGTACTGGACACACAGGGGCGGAAAGCCTTTGTGAAATATTAGTGTCTGGAGCACGTGGGTGTCTCTGGGTGGACTTCCTCCTTGAGTTTGAAGGGAAATTGCGTTCAAGGACACGTGCTGTCGAGGGCTTCCCCTTCCCTGCAGTCTCTGGCTTCTTTGTTCATCCGCCACTTTGGAACTTGTTCTAGGAGGGAAGGAGCAGTGACGCTCATTTACTCATCAGTTGTGCTGTCCCTGGAGACAGAGTTAGCATCCTCATAAATCTAGGATCCAGCAGGTGGCCAACATGGGGCCTCTCAGGGCCATCCCTGGGACTCCCTGCCACTAGCCAGCAGGAGTCGCTGTTGAGTGGCCACGGTTTGTGCAGCAAATGGGGCAGCCCCCCCACCCCCCACCTCCCAACAGCCTTGCCCAGCCACTCCTGTTGGCTCTGTTGGCTTGTAGTGGTTGTGCCAGGCCTATTGGTTCCTGGGCCGTCTCTAGACATCTGTTGAATGGGTCTCAGCCCAGAGCTGTTCCTTGTGACCCAGAGAGCACTTTAGAGACTCCCGGGGCCCTGGGACCTGTGGTGGGGTGGAGCCGTCTGGTGTGCGAGCAGCCGAACTCTTGGGCTGCAGTTTCAGTGGCCTGATCCTTGGCCTGTCTTTCTGCGGGCACCCTGGGGCGAGCTCAGTCCTCTCGCTCTGCTGGGACACCATCTGCTGGCATCAACCCTGCCATGCTGGGCAAGCAGCTCACACTCGGCTGGTGGTGGCAGAGCAGGGCCCGGGGACCCTTGGAGTTCTCGACAGTAGGGGTCAGGGGAAAGAGGGGACAGAGGCACGGAGGAGAGACGGCTGAGGAACTGGAGGACCCTGTTGGTTGCTTACCCACAGGCCACATGCTGGTCCTGTTTCTGTAGCCGAGTGACAGGAAAAGCATTCCAGATGTGGAGGGCGGGGGGGGGGGGGGGGAGAGGGGTGGGACCAGCATCAGGAGCCAGAGATGCTGGTGGTTTGCTGCAAAAGGGCCGTGTGATAAAGTGGGGTGCAGGGTGCGCTCCTGTTTCTGAACTCTGCTGTTGGTTTGCGGGAGGGGGGGTGTCCCCTGCGCTCCCCGTTGAAATTAAGCTGCTTAGTGGGCAAGGGGGGCAGAGGGCTGACACAGGACTCCCCCAGTCACAGGGAACTTGTCTCGAAAGGAGAAAGCTGAATTTGGGATCAAAAGGGAGAACCTAAAGCAGGCAGCCGGGTATTAACACTTACCCTGCCTGAGGCTTGGGTATGTGGAAATCTGTTAAATTTGTTGTATGATTGTCATTATTTTTGGAATGATTGAAATACCTAGACAAAAACCTCCGGAGTTACTTGTTCAGCCTTAGAAGCATGCACCCTGCCCCGGGCCTGCTCTTGGTCCCCTTTGGCCACTTAGTGGACACAGCAGTGAGGATTTTTCTAAGGGGCAGGTGGGATGCTGAGGCCTAGTACCACCCAAATGAGCCCCATGGCTTCCGACTTCCCTCGGCCCCTCTCGAACCTGGGGAGCATCCAATGAGCCGTTAGTAGTTGGGTTTTTCTCCTGTCTCTACGCCCTTATCCTCCTTGGCATGTTAACAAAATTGACATCTCCTTATATACAAAGTGATCAATGGAAAGTAAATCACCCAGCGTTTCTCCCTGAAAATCAGGTTTAACTCTCTTACAAACCACAACACCCAATAGGAGAGAGAGAACAAAAGGGAATGCCCTGCCACAGAGGCAGGGTGGGATGGGGGTGGGGGGGATGGAGGGTGGGAGGGTTACTGGGATCCGTGGTGGTGGGAAATTGTTACTGGTGGAGGGATGGGTATTCAAAATAAATAAATAACTAAATAAAAAAAAAACGATACGACAGTAATTCTTCATGAATAACTTCTAGATTGAAAAAAAACCCTTGCAAATGAATAATAATGATAATAATAATAACAATGCATCTCACTAGAACTTTTGACTCTGACGTCAGAGGAAAGGAGACAAGTATACCAGTGTTGGTTTATTAAATAGCAAAGGGATTTAGTGGGTTTAAGTGTAAAATGGAGCAGAATGTGCAAGAGATGAGTTTCCTCGGAGTATCTTATCTCTGTAAGAATCATGGTCAGGCGTTCTCGGCGTGGCATCACGGGATAGGTGTGGTGCAAGTCTACTCACACGGGTTCTGGATGACTATCAGGAGATACTCCTTATCTGCGGAGGGACACAGACAGGTTCAATCTTTGGCAAATATCCCCTTTAATCAGTGTGTGCTGCTGAGAGCTGCCCTTTCTCTCTAGTGTCACTTGGGCCTTTGTAGACCCATTGTCTCCTCCTTTGGGTTCTTATAATAATCACGTGACTACCCTGAAGGGTCTGGGGCAGGGGGACAGAGGAGGGGCCTGTGCCTTGCACGCAGCTGACCTGGATGTGATCCCTGGTCCACATATGGTCCCCTGAGCCAGCCAAGAGCGATCCCTGAGCCCCTGAACACAGGCGTAAGCCCTGAGCACAGCTGTGATCTTCCCCCGTGACCCCCGAAACAACAACAACAGCACTGTCACTGTGACTGTCTTCCCGTTGTTCATTGATTTGCTCACGCAGGCCCAGTAACGTCTCCATTGTGAGATGTGTTACTGTGTTTGGCATATCAAATACATCACGGGTAGCTTGCCAGGCTTTGCTGTGTGGGCGAGATACTCTTGGTAGCTTGCCGGGCTCTTTGAGAGGGGCGGAGGAATTGAACCCGGGTTGGTCGGGTCGGCCGCGTACAAGGCAAACGCCCTACCGCTGTGCTATCACTCTACAACAACAACAACAACAAAAGAATGCCCTGGTTGGGACACTGCCCAGGGACTCTGAATTTACTGGCTTGGGCTAAAGTCCCAGCATCCCATCTGTTTCATCTTTACTTTTGGGTAAAGAAGACAGGGGTAGGAACTGCTAATCAAGGGGATTGCTGGCTAATGGTTTGAGGAGCATGGTTCAGTTTTTCATTGACACCTGCCAACACGGTGAACGGTTCTGCTAAGAAGCCACTGGCTGTTCCCTGCCCAGCCCCAGGCCAGGAAGGACTCAGACCCCCCCCCCCCCCCTTTACTTTTATCCCCACAAACAGAAAAGACTGTGCCAAGTTCATCTAAAATGATCCCGACCGCTAGATTCTTTCATTACTGAGAATGCACGCAACTGGGCAAAGTTGGTTACTTCAGAGGTCAAGCACGTCACCAACTTCACCAGCGTTCTACAATATTCGGAATGTTCACACTCAGACGTGTTCATTTTGTGACTGTTGATGAATCCAAGGTGTCAAACTTCATATGAAAAACCAGGTCCCTTATTCTTTGACATAAAGCCCTTACCCAAGTACCGTTGAAAGCCGAAGGATGCTTGAAGTTGAGATGAAATGTTAAATTACCTGGAGCTACCATGATTTCGTGTTTTTTCGATCTGATCCTGAGAAAAGTGAGATCGTTCTGGGGGTCAATGTCACGGACTGTGCTCTTGGCCTTCATCGTCAGCTGATGGAGAAGCCCCGCGTACTGCACTGTCGTGGAGTTGTCCAGGGTGGTCCGGATCGGGATGCCTATCGCGAAATTTAGCTTGGGGTCATTTATACAGGATGCGCACATGGGAAAAATACTGGAAAATGCTGAACTTGTAAGGAGGAAGAAAAAGTGAGCTGACAGGACACTGACCGCAAATTAGTTTATTGCCTTCCAATTCTTTTGCCTTTACCTGGATTTTTTAACGAAGCTGGGTCACACCTGAATTGCAAACTGAGTAGTTACTTTTGTCTTCATTGAAATGGGCACGGAAGTTGTCGTTCTAGGTGATGAGGGCACTGGTGTGTTTTTATCTTTAAGCCATTGTCTAGGGCCGGGATCATGCCCAGGGCTTTGCTCAGGAAATGCGGGCACTGTCTTGCAGCCCCAGTAGCTGTTCGCTGCCCTATGCTATGGGAACAAAATATCATCAAACCCTTCCTGCCGAGTTGCTTGGTATTATGTGTTTATCTCTGTGCCTCTGTGTCTATCTGAACTGACGGTGAGATGAACATTTCTGTGCATACATCATTTAGAAGTTAATCATTTCAGCTCTAAGCCAACATATTGCTAAGCAAACTATATTCCCCCAGTGTCTATAGCAAGTCAGCCTTGACGTACTCAGTCAGTGACGCAGCACAAGTTTTCTTCCCTAAAGCCAGAGAGAGAGAAGGCTATATGTGACTGTGTCAGCCTGAGAGTCTATATCAGAAATAACAGACGAAACATCTTAGTGAGTCTTCACAGGAATCTGCAAACCTTAGAGTTTCTTTAGGGAAGCAGCAATAAAGACACCACCATTTGGCCTGGTTTGCATTTATTCTTCATTTATATGATAGGCATTATAAAGTCATTACCTTTGTGGTCTGTTCCCCATTATGAGCTTAAAGCAGAAACGATTAATTTAACTGGAAAAATCTAGCCAGACAAATATGCAAGTGTAATTCAATTCCGTTCAACTCAGTCTAGCTTAATTCAGGTCACCCAGATCTCAGCACTTACGCTACACCAGGGGCGGGACTGGAGCAGCACGTGACGCTGTGTATGTTACATACGAGCACGGCTCGTCATGTTACACGTATGGTACCGAATCAGAACTGGATCTTGTTCACAGATGGTAACTCCAGAATCAGGTAATCAAGATGGGACAATATTATACACTGGACATCTGGCTAGTTTTTTGTGAAACTCATTGAGTGCCTCAATTTTGACACAGTGACAGATGGGTTTACTTTTCTTTTGAGAAGACCATTTTCTCCAGAATCCATCTTGCTGACCACTGTGAAGCAAATACTTCCCTATGTTGGAAATAAGCCATTACGTAAAACTTAATTTCTGCATTAGTGTTTCCCCCCAGAAACCAGTGACACAGGACTTTACCATCTAAAGGCCTATCATCAGGCTGTGTGTTTAATAAGCCGGAGGCTGAAATTCCGCACTCAACCTTTTAAGAGCACTTTCTGATGAACAGTTTTATTCTGCATCCTGAATGGTGAGCACCTACAAAGCCTGCATTGCACAGTGTCAAAACAAGAAATACAACCAGAATAAATTATTTAAAAACGTAGATGACAAGATTATGAATCAGAGGCTCAGACCTGTTTAGTTAGTCTAGTCATGATCCAAGTCAATAAATAAACCAGCTAGCCTTTCTGAATTGTAAGCACCTACCACAGAATTCTTAGGGTTTCAGGCCAACTGGAGACTCCTGAAAAATCAGCCAAAGATACTTGGTACCATGTGAAATAATTTTTTAAAAAAGCCAACTTATTAAAAAGTAATTTTAGTACCTGGCAAGAGAATTCACCCACTTCCCTTTCTGAGAAGTGACCACAGTTTCCTCTCTGTTTGGTACTTTCCCAGAGATGTTCTAAGTCTATCAAAGTATATTTGTTTGTACTCTTTATTTGAATCGCATCACTCCATACCTTTCAAAAATTCAGTGCACTTAAGCAATCGCTCCATTTCAATATACATAAGGGCAGGTGACAGTTGAACGGATGGATTGTGATACACGTAACTAATAGAAACTCCTGATGGGCATCTAGGCTGCTCCCAGCCTCTGACTTTTAAAAGCAAGAGCAGAATGGTCCTGTGTGTGCCGTTTCTCATTGGTATATAGGGGTAGGGTAAATTCCTAAAACTAATGTCCTGGAACCAAAAATATGATTCTGATATTCTGAAATTTATGGGACTCATTTAAAATAGGACTCTGCAATCCCAGGAAGTGGGTTTTCTTCAACTGTATGTACACGCTTTGGTTTGAACCAAGTTACAATTCAGAAATAAAAGGAATCGGTTGGTAAAATCTAATAAAGCTCAAATGATGGGTTGTGAAATCTCAAGAATATTTGAAATTAAGCACCTACCTATATTCTTATGTGTATAAGAATGTGATGTATGATTTTCTGGGAACAAAAATACATAAAACATATTTTCAGACACAAACACATGTACAAGTGTCACCTAAGCATCTAATGATTAGATACTGTCAACGATGAACACTTTTATAAATGTGAAGCCAATACTTAAGAGAAAGACTAATCTGATAAAGCTCCTCTACCCGTTGGCATTGGGCTAAGTTGATTTCTATTCTATCGAGAGCCTGTTTTTATGACAGTGAAACTGGAGTATGCTCTTGGACATGGCGGGAGACGAAATCTAAGTGTAGGACACGGTAGAGGGCCTGCCTGACCACTAAGGAGATGCGGAAGCATGTTACAGCCCATGGAAATGAGTCTCCTAGGATCAATAGGCTCAAGAGCTCAGAAAGAACAAGAACATGGAAACACCATCTCTAGTCCATTCCCCAGGAGGAGATTTCTCGGGACTTCTGAGAGCTGCCCTAGAATGAATGGCACTTCCCTGTCAAACCTTGCAGGCTACTGAATGGGAGCAGAGCATTATGCTTTTTGTACACTCTGGTTATTATACTGTTCCTAAAAAAATGAGACCCTCATCTGTTTTTTGGGGAAGAGGTTAAACTGAGATTCCTGAAAAACACCTTGAATTACAACAATTGTCCTAGTAGGCTGAATCAGTGGAAGTTAATGGGTATTAAAAATAGTATTTCTTGGCCTTTGGAGAAGTGCAAATTGAGCAACCACTTGAAAATAAAGTAAAAAATCACTTTTACTCTCCTTGCTCAGAGATAATCACCAAAACATGTCTCTTTTCCTTCCGTATTTAAGTATGTATGTGTCTGCCTATATAACTGATTACATATTGTTTCATTCAATGTTTTATTTCACCTAACATATTGGTTCACTCAATGTTTTATTTCACCTAGCATTGTAAATTGTTCCTCATGATTCTATTTATTGATACTTTATATATAGGATAATGGTTCATCACGCTGTCACTGTCCTCCCATTGTTCATTGATTTGCTTGAGCGGGCACCAGTAACGTCTCCATTGTGAGACTTGCTGTTACTGTTTTTGGCGTATTAAATACACCACAGAGAGCTTGCCAGGCTCTGCCATGAAGGTGAGATACTCTTGGTAGCTTGCTGGGCTCTCCGAGAGAGACTGAAGAATCGAACCCGGGTTGACCGCGTGCAAGGCAAATGCTGTGCTACTACTCACTGTGCTATCGTTCCAGCCCAATGGTTCATTATATAATTTAAACTTACTGTTGGGAGTTATTATTCAATTTTCTGCTGGTATTATACGTGATGCTTCATTGGATTTTTTTTTTTTTGCTCCAAATAGGCATCCTTCCATTACAATAAATTGGAATTGTGGCTTCAAGGCTATGGACATTTTTCAAACATGCTTCACAATGCTCGGATAATGACCTTTAGACAAGAGCTTCTAGAAGAACATGTGAGATGAGTTGTCCTGGGTGCCAGAGATGAATGCACCTGTACTGGGTTGAACAGTTTATTCCAAAATTCAATTCATCTCCAAATATCCAAATACAACCTTACTTGGAAATAGGGCCTACGCGGATGTAATGAACTGGTTTGAAGTCACACTGAATTAAGTTGTACCCTGTTGCAATAATTATGTCTCCTTTTCACAAGTGAGAAAGACTGGAGGATGCCAGAAGCCACGGAGGCAGATCGGAGGATGTGTCTCTCAGCCAAGGAGTGCCAAGGATTTCTGGACAACACCAGGAAGTGGGAAAGAGTCAGGAGGGGCTCCCCTGAACACCTGTCAGAGCTGGGTTCTGTTAACACCTTAATTTCAATCTCTAGCTTCCAAATTTAGAGGTGAAATTCTAATTTCTAAGCCACCAATGCTACTGTGTTATATAAGGCAGCCGCAGGAAACAAATTCAGCATCTCTCTGAAGCACCGCAGGCTGGCCATTGCAAGGTGCGTGAGAGCTCATGCAAGGGTCTAGAACTAAAATCCATACAAATGGAAGCATGTGCTATGTCTGGGATACTCCTGGGAATCAGAGGGCAGCTCTTGACTTAGCTATGAGACTAAAGTTTCCTTCCCCCGACCACCTGAGTGAGGTGAATGCATTTTACTCATTGGGCATTAAGTTGGTTTTTAAAAATTTTATTGTAAAACACACTGAATCTTTTACCCGGGGCTCGTGATACCCATCAATTATCATGTTAAGCGAAATGAGTCAGAAAGAGCGGGACAGACACAGAAAGATTGCATTCATCTGGGGAACATAAAGCAACAAAACGGGAGACTAACACCCAGGAATGGCTGAGATTAGTACCAGGAATTTTGCTCCATGACTTGAAGGCCAGCCACATGTGCTAGGTGAAAAGGAAGCTCAGATAGAGAAGAGAGCACCAAATAAAGGGTGTTGTGAGGACCCTCCCAGGGTGGGAGAAGCATGCTAAAAGTAGTCTATAGACCAAGTATGATTGCCACTCAATGCCTCTCTTGCAAAACACAACACCCAAAAGAAGAGAGAGAGAACAAGGGGGAATGCCCTGCTACTGAAGCAGAGTGGGACGGAGGAGATGGGGGGTGGGAGGGATGCTGACACCCGGGGTGGTGGAGGATGGGCACTGGTGGAGGGATGGGTACTTGATCATTGTATAACTGAAACCCAAGCACAAAAATTGATAAATCTATAACTGTACCTCATGGTGTTTTACTAATAAAAAATAATAAAGTCGAAACTGAAAAAAAATAAATAAAAAATCCCCATACTCTCAGGAGTACTTAGTTATAATTCTGTTAAGTGTTGGGTGTTATGCCAGAAACTCGACAATAATTATTTTACTGCATTATCAGAGCCATTAGTAAAGTAGATTATTCTCCACTTTTTAATGAAAAGGGGATTGAAGTCAGAGTTTAAGCAGACTTTCAGGTGCTAGTTGCTCAATAAATATTTATTGATGGATTTGCTCCAAAATAATGATTAGCTGTGGCTGCCAAGCTCCGAGCTGGCAATGCACCAGATCTTTGGTTGCACCGTATGTGAAGTAGCTCCTCTTGTTTCGTCTAATGTTCTGGGACTCGTGGCACCACTTGCCCTTATAAAAGCCTGAGTTGGCAGTAAAGCCAGCAGCAGCCTGTAAGAGGTTGGCACCCCAGCTGAGCACGCAGAAAAGTGCCAGGTTTGCTCGATTGACCAGTCTGGTTTATAGCGTGTTCACAGGGACTAGGGAAATACAGCAAGTTCCTAGTATAAATCTATGCATTTCAGAGTTTGAGGTGTGTAGTTTCTCTTATATCTAGACACACAAAAAATATTGTAAATTCTAATTAAATTCATTCTCGAAGATTTTTATAAGTCTGGCACGAGAAACAATTGTAAAATGAAGACTAAAGCTTCTACCATGTATTATGTTAAAAAGAAACAGCTATCAACAATGATAGTCTAATATAGTTCTGCTGATACTCCTGAAAGGTAAGAATTATCACAGGTTTGAAAATTAGGCGGTGCAGTGTTTTTTAAATATACCTAGACAAGTCTAGACATCTCTCTTTATATTTGTGTCCCTGATCTTAGAGTAACTGGCATGTAATAGATTCTCAGTAGACTTTTGATAAGTAAAAACTTGGAGATATATATATATATATATATATATATATGTGCATATATATATCTGGAGAGATATATATGTGCATATATATAAAAGCATTATTTATATCTACATATAAATAAAAGCATTATTTATATCTACATATAAATAATGCTTTTTTAAAAATCTCAAATTCAAAGCAATGTGTAGCAGGCATCGTGCAACAAACAGGTTCCTGGTTTGTTGTTGGTTTCATTCTGTGGAGAAGGCAGCCTGAGATTAGATTTACCTTCTGCATTTACGACCATGGTTCCAATAACCCCTTTATGGCTCTGAATTCTCTTTAGGGTTTCCTCCACCTCTGCCTAGAAGAGATCAGAAAGCAAATAATTAAAGGGTCTTTAATTTGGGTTCCTTGTGAGAACCCCAGTGCCAAAGATAATGATGCTTAGAAAAAAAATGTACTTGGTATTGCCTTGACCTAGAACACTGGATGCTATAATCTCAGAAACAATCTCTTCTTTTTGGAAGAGAACTTTGAATTTTTAAGTCTTATATCGACACCCTCTATATAACTTGGAAAAATCTCTTCATAATTCTTTTAGAGACAGAAAGCTTTATGCTAATTTTAATAGTCTATATTTGCTAGAAATTTTTTCCTTTAAACAGAAATCTACTCCACTCTTGATCTTTCTGATCTGAAATTAAAATTTCTTTAAATATTTGCAGAGCTATATCATTGCCTCCCTCTGAATAAATGTATGCCCTAATGAGAAATCTTATTGTCATTCTAAAGGTTACCTAATTGGGCACTCAGATGATTAAATTCAGGAAATTATGTGATACAACATATTTTAGGAATCAAGGATTCTCCTTAACACTGTCCTAGGTCTCAGAGCAAACTGCATGCTCAACTATGAATGATAATGTTGGAACCTTGTCATTTTTGGTTTTAAATTTAGTTTTCTGAACGAAACTTAAGCATCGACTATATTCTACCAGTAAGTTTTCTTCTCCTTTACAATAGCTGAAATTAAAACTGTTCTTTTTTTAAAAACTTGAACAGTTTTTATAATAACTACTGGATATTCTAAATTCAGTCACCCCCAGAGACTCTTGATGGAAGTTTGTCATCATTCAGTGAACACAGCATTGCTTTAGTAGAAAAACAGTTTTCTTTTGCAGATAATGTGTGCAGAAGCAATTAGTTCCTCTTTTCTGCTACTGGGGCAGGTATTTTCTGAATCTGGGGCATTTGTATACTATTCACATAAATTTTTTCCCGGCCAATATGAACACCATCTATATTATTTACTGGGCACATTACTTAAGCTATCTACTGATAACAGCTTAAATCAACACATTTAAAAAGAAAACTACATGTTGAACAAAAAAGGAAATACCATATTATTATAATAATAAAAGAACTGGCATGAAAGAACTGGCGGAGGAACCCAGGCATGCGGGTCCTGGGGCTGAGGTCTCCAAACCTACTCGGATTGGGACTGGGCCTTCTCCACCCAGACCCCCCATCTTCTAGTAGGTAGGCGTCACACCCACCAGCTGCCGACAGACCAGGTTGGTCCCATCAACGGCCAAGATGCAGAGACTATAAAACCCAGCTTGCGAACCCAGCTCGCGACATCTTATTATCTTTCCTTTGGAGAACCTGGCAGGCTACAAAAAGTATCCTGCCCGCACGGCAGAGTCTGGCAAACTTCCCATGTCGTACTCAATATGCCAAATACCAGTAACAATGATGGATCTCATTCTCCTAATCCTGAAAGAGCATTGAAATGGCTCTTTTAAAATCTCTGGGCTAGGTAGAAGGAGACGTTACTGGTGCCTGCTCGAGACAATCGACGAACAACAGGATGATCGTGATCGTGATAATAATAAAATGCACCATAGAAACAAACAAAATGAAAAGTGAGCATATGAATGATACTCTAATGAAAGCCCTGATCCTGAGGCCTGTTCAGAAATTACCAAATAATAGCAGCACTAATGACCTTGGAGTGCCAGATGCTTTCTCCTGAAGAGACCAGAGGCTGAAAAAACATGGTTGAGGAACAGCTCTCCTGCCTCGCATCCAGTCTGTGCTACTTGGTATTTCTGGGGCATCTGATGACGGTTCAACTATGGGTTGCGTCTCACATGGGTTGGGAGGCACTTCCCTCAAGTGGTCAGAGGCTCCGTTTTTTATTTCAGTTCCTCTCTCTTTAAGACAGGATCCACAACTCCCGACCGACTTTGCTGATTTATATTTTGCGGGGTCTCACCTGATGGAGCTTGGGGACGGTGTGCTGTGCTTGGGATCCAACAAGCTCCTTACCTGCTGCCATTCTCTTTCCGGCCTGACCTTGCTGATCTTTTTGATTTATCTCCAAACTGGCCCCTCTCTAACCAGCCCTCCTTCTCTTCTGTCCTCTCTCGGGGTTTCTGGGTCCTGCTAACAGTCTTCTGAACCCCTTTCCCAGGCCCCTTCATTCCACTCATAATGGCTTTGTTCTTTTTCACTGTGTTCTATCGTGAACTCCTTAGTTTCTGCCACCATGCTGCTTTGCACCTTCAGATCCACCCTGAGAATCTCTGACTGGCTGGGTATGGGGTTTCCTTCTGTGCAAAGCTGGGGTGCACCCCACAGACCAAGAGGGTACAACTGAGCACAGTGGTTTCTACTGGTTTACTCCCTGTCGGCCAGCGAAGATAGGTATTTTACTGACTGCTAAGGCAGAATTTCTTCCTGGAAAGTATTTAGGATTAGAATACTTGTAAATCCACATTAATACCCTACGCCCCCCCCCCCCCCCCCAGCCCCTTGCAACAGGATCCAGGCAGGTTAGTGTTAAGAGGCAGTACGCTGAGTTAACATGCTAGTGTTAAGACACACACACACACACACACACACACACGCTGGGGCTGGAGCTATAGTACAGCAGGTAGGGCGCTTGCCTTGCACGGGGCCAACCCAGGTTGGATTCCCAGCATCCCATCTGGTCCCCCAAGCACAGCTAGGAGTAATTCCTGAGTGCAGAGCCAGAAGTAACCCCTGTGCATCGCTGGGTGTGACCCAAAAGGACCAAAAAAAAAAAAAGACACACACACACACACACACACACACACACACACACACACACACACACCTCTCACCTAGGCTCTGTGCTTTGGCATCTGCGGTCACTCCTTTAATGAAGCCTGGCTACTCTTGCCTTTTTATTTCACTCATCACCAGCATGGCTCATACAAACGATCATGTGTGTCCCCCTCCCCCCTTTCCCTCCGGGTCCCCTTTTCTGCTCCTGGATGCCTTGTGCGCCGGTTGCTTCCCCCGTCTTCCCTCGTCCCCAGGATGATGTTTCTCTTCTCCGACTCGCCCTGCCCTTCGCAGGCTTCCCTGGGTCAGGAGACTTGGCATTCCCGCGCTCTCTTCTCTCTCGATGTTCCCTCTCCCAGGTAACCCCGGCCCAAGGCAACCCCAATTCCCTCCTCCCCAGATATGCCCCCTCCCCAAGACAACGCCCCTCTCCATCCGTCATCTCCGCCCCCCCACTCCAACGCCCCCGCCCCCGTCCAGGCTTTCCCTCTGCCCCCTCCAAGAAGCTTCTGGAGCTCCCAGCCTTCGCCGCTCCTGCGCGGACCCAGCCGGGCGAGCGGAGGGCCCAGAATTACCATGACTCTGGCGGCGAGTCCCTGCGCGGTGATGCCCAAACGCGTCCCGCCGTTGCTAGGAGAGGGGCCGGAAGTGCGCGCCCGGAAGTCCGGGACTGCGCCTGCTCACTCGCGGTCCGGGCAGAAGCCGGCGCCGCGCTGCGCTTCCGCCCTCACCTGCTCTGAGCGTCCGGGCCGCCGTAGCGCAGGAGCCGCGGGGCCGCCGCGCCGCTCACCTGGGCACCCCGAGGCCTGCGGGAGGCCGGGCAGCTCCTGGGGGTGCGCGATCACGCCCCAGCCGCGTTCTCATGCGGGACTCCCCCCCCTCCCCGCCACGTGTTGGGCTGTGTCTGGACCCGGGCGCCCGGACTGGGGAGTGAGGACCCAGGCCGGACTCCCCCGGCCCGGTTGCGTGACTCAGCGCCCTCCCCGCGCCCTCGCACCCTCCTGGACCTTGCCCTCTTCTTGGGGGCGGGGTGAGGGCTCACCTGGCTGTCCGGGGGTGTTCGGGGCTTATTCTTGGCTCTGTGCCCAGGGGTCACTCCTGACGGGGCTCAGGGCACTATAGGGGGCCGGGGACCCTATGGGATGCCCGAGACGGAACCTGAGTGGACCTCGCAAGGCACGCGCCCCTACTGGCCGAACCACCCCCCCAGCCCACACCTTTTCTTTCCTTCTTTTCTGCGAAGGGGGGTGGGGGTGTGTGGAAGAGTTTGGGCCACACGCAGTGATGCCCAGGGGCTACTTCTGCATTCAGCGATCCTGGGGCTTCTCCTGCAACTGGCGATGCTCAGAGTTACCCCTGCACCCCGCCATGCTCAGGGGCTTCTGGCTCTGGGCTCAGGAATCACTCCTGGTGTACAGGGGTCTTTAATTTCTCTCTCTCTCTCTCTCTCTCTCTCTCTCTCTCTCTCTCTCTCTCTCTTCTTTCTTTCTTTCGAATCACTGTGACATAGTTATAACTTTCATGTTTGGATTACAATCACACAATGATCAAACACCCATCCCTCCACCAGTGCACATTCCCCACCACCAATATCCCCGGTATACCCCCCCTTTCCCATCCTCCCCCTGCCTCCATGGCAGACATGATTCCCCATAATCTCTCTCTACTTTTGGGCTTTATGGTTTGCAATACAGACCGAGAGGTTATCATGTTTGGTCCTTTATCCACTTTCTGCACACATCTCCCATCCCGACCGGTTCCTCCAGCCATCTTTTTCTTAGTGATCCCTTCTCTATTTCAGCTGCCTTCTCCCCTTTGCTCATGAGGCAGGCTTCCAGCTATGGAGCAACCTATCTGTCCCGTGTATCTACAGTCCTTAGGAGTCAGCCTCATGTTGTTTCATACTCCACAAGTGAGTGCAGTCCTTCTATGTCTTTGTGACTCATTTCACTTAGCATGATACTCTCCATGTCTATTCATTTATAAATGAAGTCAAAGTTCATGACTTCATCTCTCCTGACAGCTGCATAGTATTCCATTGTGTAGATGTACCAAAGTTTCTTTAACCAGTCATCTGTTCTAGGGCACTTAGCAAGCCAGATTTTGGCTATTGTGAAGAGTGATGCAATGAACGTATAGGTCACTCTCACTGTCCTCCCGTTGTTCATTGATTTGCTCAAGCGGGGCCGGTAACGTCTCCATTGTGAGACTTCTTGTTACTGTGTTTGGCATATTGAATACTCTTGGTAGCTTGCCAGGCTCTCTGAGAGGTGCGGAGGAATCAAACCCGGCTCAGCTGGGCTGGCTGCGCGCAAGGCAAACGCCCTACCGCTGTGCTATCACTCCAGCCCAAACTTATGGGTACAGATGTCATTTCTACTGTGCTTTTTTGCATCCTTGGGATATATTCCCAGAAGTGGTGCTGCGGGATCATATGGAAGCTCAGTTTCTAGTTTTTGAAGGACGGTCTATATTGTTTTCCAGAAAGGCTGGGCTAGTGGGCATTCCCACCAACAGTGAAAGAGTGGGACTTTAATTTCTTAAGTAGGAAATGTATACTGAAGTTTCTAATGCTACAGTCCAGCATTTTTCTTCAATGATGCCTCCCCACTCAGTGTTTTGGGCATCAGAGGCACCCCTCAAGTTGTGTCATTATATTAGGGTCTTCATTTTTAGGTCATTCCGAGTTGGCAGTTCTGAGTGGTTGACAAAAGGCTGTTGTGGTAGTACTGGAACTGAGTGCCTGACCATTGCCTGGCCATTGAAGACATGCTGGGAACGGTGGCTAAGGGTCACTTAGCGATGGTCAGCAGTCACCCTGTCATTTGAAGTCATTATTCATATCTTGGTAGCCAAGAAATACAGAGCATGTCTGAAGCACAGCTGGAAAAGTTCACTTGTAACATGTTATCACACAGCCCTGGGGTTAGAAGAGCACAGACATGGCTGAGAACACAAATGCAGATTCTGATTCTGTCTGTCTGTCCATTTACAGAAAAGTCTCACACAAACTAGGCATGCTTATTGCCAGGTATGTCAGTATGTGCTGGGCCCTGTCAGGGATGCTGAAACGGTTTGCTTGTTCGTTCATGGTCCTCCCGATGAGGGTTGGGTTGCCAAGACTTCCCAACCCTGCTGTCCTGTGCTTTGTCTCCCATGGGTGCTGTTGGCTGCCATGTGCTTGGGGGGGGGGGCTCCAGGACCACACCCACACCAGCGGTCCTCTGGGCGCTGCTGCACTCTGGGCACTCAGGCCTTCGCGTCAGCCCTTCGAGCTCACTCCCTACGCTCTGGACAATCAAAACGTGATGGTGGTTTTGGACTAGATGGCCTCTTTGAACTCAGCCACTCATTTTTGCTGGATTTGGGGCCATCTCTGGCATTGCTCTGGGCTGACTCCTGCCTGCACTCAGGGATCATTCCTGGCAGTGCTCATGGGACCATCTGGGTGCCGGGGATTGAACCAGGCTTGGCTGCATATAAGGCAAGAGCCCTACGTGCTGTGCTATCACTCTGGTCCCATCAACTCGGCCTGTCATTGGATGATAGTATATGATGCACAGAAGCACTCTAAGATGCTAAAATAACTGTATTGTAGCACTTTGGGAAGTCTGGCCACTGTTAGTCTCGTTTTCTTCCCCCATAAGAAACAGACTTCACAAAAACCAGATCCCAGTAGTGAATGGATTCCACTGGTTTTCTGGAACTTGAACCTAAGTAACAGAGGTGTGTGTGTGTGTGTGTGTGTGTGTGTGTGTGTGTGGCGTGTGTGCACGCGTGCATGTGTGTATGCGTGCGTGCGTGTGTGTGTGTGTGTGTGTGTGTGTGCACGCGCGTGTGTGCACACCTGACTCTTTACTGGTGGCCTGTGTTTGTCATTTTCCAGTTATGGACTGAACCGTGTAAAGACTGATTCCTGGGCTCTTGGGGAGTTTCTGGCAGGGGACATCTGTACTTGGTTGGGGAGCCATTTGTTTGCTTTGTGAAACTCTGGGCAGCGCACCCTGTCTGTAACAGCATCAGTCAGCCTTAATGAAGGAGCCGGCTGCCTGAGTGTGGGGTGTGCCTCTCCCGGCTGGCTGCGGGAGTCAGGGTGTCAAGCCCATTCAATAGCCGACAGCTGTGATTAGAGGCGAGCGGGCCAGAGTGGGAGAGGCGCTGACGGGGGTATCCAACTGCTGCAGAAGTAATAAGAAGCCGCCCAGCTGACTTCCAACCAGCAGGCAAGGTTGACTCAGGGTACACAGGAAATCAATGCAGCGAATATGAGCCATTTTCTCCCCATCGATTTTCACTTCTAATTATTCCTCGGAGGTAGCTTGGTTTAATTTTCATGTCTTTTTTTTGGGGGGGGGACTATAATGAATACCCTGCGCTGAGTTATATTAAGTATCTTGGCAGGGTCTGACACGTCTCCACCCTACTCCAATCTCAGTACGCGTGAACCCTCTCTCTCCCTTATCCCCGTTTTCTGTTCCCCCACTCACTACTGCATTAGGCCCACACAAAGTGTTTAGATAACTTTGAAACTTAAGAGGAAAAAAAAACTGATGAATATTTCTTTCTGCAAGTACCCAGAAGTGGTTCCCAAAGTTGTGGTTAAACACGGGGACTAAATTAACTATTTTTTTTTCACGTTGAGGTTCATTGAAAGAAGATGGTTTTCTCTTGGAGTATCTCTTTTTGACCTGAAGAATTCCAGGTATTAGGGGCTGGAGTGATAGCACAGCGGGTAGGGCGTTTGCCTTGCACGCGGCCAACATGGCCGACCCAGGTTCGACTCCCAGCATTCCATATGGTCCCCCAAGCACCACCAGGAGCAATTCCTGAGTGCATGAGCCAGGAGTAACCCTTGAGCATCGCTGGGTGTGACCCAAAAAGAAAAAAATAAGAATTCCAGGTATTGGTTAAGTTTTCTCTTGAAATCTGTACCATAGCATCTGTGTATCTTTGGCATCACTGTTAGCTGGCATAATGAAAATCAGGCTATGGAATACATTCTGTGCCAGTTTTTCATTCGATAAGGCATTATTTGTCAACCTCAACAGAACTATTCTTGGTGTCATTCCAAAAGAACACGCTCTGGATTCTTTGAAAATGACCCGTCATTGTAAGACAGGGTTAGAGTATGCTAGTGGTCCGGTAACTGACCCATTCCATAGTATCAGAGTTTTCAACTTAGTTTTTTAGAACAGCTAATTCTACTCCTAAGACAAAGGTCCCCTCTGGGGTGATCTTTCAGGACCTATGTGTCCCAGAAGCATTTATTTCCTGTAAGGGAATCTCCCTGTTAGAATCAAGTGGTTTCCGAGAACACAGCATTTGGAGTTGATGCTTCTAGGTGCCTTTCCTCACCTAGACTAAAATTAATTAGGACTTCCGATTCCTCAGGTATAAAATCAGAAAGTCCTAGCTACCTCAGAGGGCTACGAGATTTCAATTATGTGGGTAAATATTCCTGCCCTGTGCCAGGTGCCCACAGATCATTAGCATTTGTTTTGGGATCTTTTTCATTCATTAATCCATCTGGTTTCCCTTGTTCCTCCCCCCCCCCAGCCCCCCACCTTTCCGCCTCTCCCAGATTCTATTTTTCTAGCGGTTTCCTCCTTCCCTGTTCCTTGTTCCTTTACTCTTTCCTTTCTTAAA